TCTCAAAATACGAGAACAATCACTTCCTCCCAATCACCCAGATGTGGCTTCATCCTACAACAACATCGGTGCAGCGTATTCTGACATGGGTGATTATCCCAAGGCACTTTCATCATATGAAGAAGCTCTCAAAATTCAACTACAATCACTTCCTCCCAATCATCCAGATGTGGCTTCATCCTACAACAACATCGGTGCAGCGTATTCTGACATGGGTGATTATCCCAAGGCACTTTCATCACATGAACAAGCTCTCAAAATTAAACTACAATCACTTCCTCCCAATCACCCAGATGTGGCTTCATCCTACAACAACATCGGTAATGCGTATCGCAACATGGGTGATTATCCCAAGGCACTTTCATCATATGAACAAGCTCTCAAAATTAAACTACAATCACTTCCTCCCAATCACCCAGATGTGGCTGGATCCTACAACAACATCGGTAATGCGTATCGCAACATGGGTGATCGCAGGACTGCTTTATTATTTTACACAAATGCGGTTCAAATCGCTCAAAAAGTGTTACCATCGACACATCCTCATCTGCAAATGTTTAAAAGAAACTTGGAAAGAGCGAAACAGAAACTATAAGTTTTGCATGTTGCTTTGGACGGAACCCTGTTTCGAGACGTTTTAGATTTGTGAATGAGCTTCACTCGCTGAATTAGTTCTACAGTAATCGAAGATATGTGAATGGATCAGCGGGAAAGATATCAGGCGGGAGTGAAAAATTTGGGAAGTTCTTTTTAGAATTGTTTCGTATCGTGAAGACCATTTTTCAGTTGTATTTTCGATAGCTTCGTATACTTTGACAGAATGAACAATAATTTTTTACTTCACAAAAGAAAATAAACATGTCAATATTCCCTTTTCTGAAAGAAAGAGTTATACAGCGTTTAAATGCTGCGTTGAAAAGCTTAAAGTTTGTCTGTCTGTGCTATCCAATCAGAAGTCAGCATTGGTAAAATCTGTGAAATTGGTCGATAGTTGTTAGAAAGTGATTATCGGTCGGGTAATGGAGGTCGGGGAACTTGAATCTGAGGTTAGTTTTAAATAATTGTTAACTATTAATTAACTATCTGTCAACTAGGCATAAATTATTAATATGCAAGGTAAGGGTTGACCGAGGGGGAATCAGGGTCGAGGACCTCGAATCCGAGACTAGTTTCTCGAAATGCTAATTAGCTCATCAGCTAATTAGCTAATTAGGCGATGAAATTTTTCTTCGTTATCGAGTAAGGGTCGACCGAGGGGTAATCGGGGTGGAGGATCACGAATCCGAGGTTAGTATTGATTAATTAATTATTAGTTTTTCATTAACTAGCCACGACTCAAACATCCATTGTCAGAGTAGACCGAAGGGTTTCTGACGTCGGGAAATTCGAATTTAAGGATGAATTTCGTCGTATTCGTTGAGCCTGGGCTTGTTACTTCCTCTTTGCCAAGGAGATATTTTTCTTTATCTGTTCTAAAATCTTTTGTAGAAGATGATGAGCTGAACGCTATTCACGGACGTCATGTGTATAAAGATAGTAGCTCAAGAACTTGCCCGAAAAGATCTAATGCATTGTACATAATGATGTTTCTAATTCAAGAAATCCGAAAAAGTTATATGAGCTTAGTATCATCTTTGCTTTTTAGGCTACAGACATCATGTCCTTTCATGGGAATTTAGTAGAAGTACTTCGCAAAGTGATATACCCGTCGGTGGAATTCCATCTTAGTAACTACAGACGTGTTGACTGTAGAAACAGTATTCTGAACACATACAGCACTATGAAAGATGTTCGTTTCGAAGCAAATCATATAATAAGACTTTCCTATCTAGTTTCTTTGGGTAGTCGAATGAATAGAAGATCATGACTGTCGAAGCGACAATAAAAGAAAATCCAATCGTTCAGTTTGAAAGTCGATCGAAGACGGAAGGAATAACAGAGACAGCATGGCAACGGCTAGCCGTGAGTGACCGACTGGAGGGAGGTCGACGAATTGAACAGAGCAATAGAATATGTACTGTAAACTACACAGTTACGAAGGGTTTTGATAACTTCGATCAGAGATCGACTCAGTGTCAACGAGCTACTTCTTTATATGGAAAAACTATGAAAACTGATCATGTGCGTCAACGACTAGGCGTTTAAATGCTAGATTAATCCCAAAGTGTACGCTTAGAATAACCTTGCCAGGCTTCAGATAAGTTTGAAAGAGATTTGACGAATGGATATTCCTCAATGAAAATATTCGACAAGGTACCATTTTGTTGGCAGGAGAGAAAAGAATCGGTTTGTCGCTGGAAGACACAGGCGAATGTTCAAACTTTTCAAGTAGTCTACTGTATATCATCCGTCGATGAGTGACTTAGTAAAGCATTTATGAAAATTTCTATGCGCGTGATATGAAAATAGAAAAACAGATGACAAAGGTCAATGGTTGGCCGTGAGTGGCCGTCTGACTAGCCGTTGAGCAATGAATTTTTCAGTCAATATAGTTAGTGCTGGAGAATTATCCACTGACAAATGGCTAATCGGTCTGAGTCCTAAAAAGACCTCTGTATCCTATTCACTCTAGTGTGTGACATAGTGCCATGATTGAGTTGAGCACTAGTAGCAATCGCGGTGCGTTTTTCTCTTTCGAAGTCTCTGAATGTGTTCAGCATTCGGAAAAGTCTTTCAGAAAAGAGTCAGCGAATCCAAAGGATGAGCATTACTTGTTTTATATATAGATGAAAATACACCTACGAAGACGAAGAGAGAGCGTATTCTCTAAGGGCAGAGAACAACGACCTGTACATACACTAAACATATATGCATACTAGTCGTCGATACATCAATCACGGGCATAGATAGAGACAGAAAGGACAAAAAACAAAGGGAGGCAGTCAGCAACAAACTGATTTTCATTGATCTATTGATTGAATTTTTGTTATAGGAAGATTATTATCGATTGAAAATTTGTTCAACGTTTGTTAAGATTGTTGACTAATGAGAATTGCGAAATCTTGTCAGACCGATTTTCGTCCAAAATTAATATCCAAAGAGGTAGAAAAACGTTCGTGTAAAATCGATAGAACTCTTCAAGTTCTATTTGGAAACAATAGTGTCATTCTGATTGAAATGCATTTGACGAAATTTGAATTCATATTTAAGATACTCTATGCTTTTGAGTATATCATTAAGAATTGAATGGAGAATTATTTCAAATATAATTAAATCGATGTTCACGTTCTTTTTCTTCTTTTTATTTGTTCTTTGACAAAACTGTATGAGATATATTCTCACTACAAAATGAATCGAACTTTCAACAAAAAGCAACGCTTTGAGAGAAAAAGTAATTTTATATCTTCTCTCCACATTTCACTCACAGTTCATTGAAATTTGTTATTAACTATAGTCAAGCATTTTCCGTTTTGTTCCTAACGATTTTTGCTTCGGAGCATACAATTTTCTTCTTATCTGCTTATTAAATGTTGTTATTTATCACAATGGGCGGGTGAACGAATTCGCGTGGTTTTCCTACGAAAATCCATATGATTATGAATATAAGACGTTTCTGAAATTGTTACTGTCGCTGACAATTATCTTCACGGTCAACATTTGAATGTTTAGCTAATAATGTTCTTTCTAAATCTTCTTGAATATTGTCTACAAATCCAAACTCCTACCATCTTCTTTCAGCAATTGATCAAGTGACTCGCGAATATCATTTAAGTAATCTAATTTGATAAAAATATTCGTACATTGTGTTCACTTGATTGACAAGATGGCAAAAGTTGATTTTCGAATAAAAACAGATGTGAGTAGAAGAACTGAAATGGAAATTTTGGAATGGAGTTGTGGGTATTTGTGAAAACTTTTAAGAATAGATCATATTGAAAACGGAGATTATGGGTTTTTTACATTTTCTCTGACTTGAATATGTGTCCTCTTTCCTAATAAGTTTTCAAATTCGACTTCACTTACTCGTTATATGAAAACAAAAGTTTTTTTTGATCATGGGCGTCGTATGATAAAGAAAAATCTCGGTGTTGTATCCGAAGATGATCGAGAAAAGTATTCAAATATCACCATAGATGTCATTATGCCGTTATGACGGGTATCGTCAGCCGAACGTCACGATACGCTCACCCTGATCAACGAAAAACCACGCGTATCGACATCACCGTATCCTATCCATGGGTAATCACTTCAATACGCCAGCAAAAACAGAACAAGACGTTGGCTTGAGGAATTTGAGTGGGTTTTTCGTATCCACTACGATACCCATATTCCTCATCGATCTCCCAAACCTGAGGTATATGAGTTGATTTTGCACGATGATTTAATTGCTGCAGGAATGAACTAATTCTATTCTTCAAGTACAAGAGTAATAGCTATTTTACGCCACAATTGTGTTTATATTCATATTCAAAACGTTTTATGAAAGAAATTACACGAGGTACTTTTAAATTCAAACTGAATATAAATATACTCATGTTCACGCATTTGGTTGTCATAATATAACGGAAAATATTGCATGATAAGGTTAGTAATGATAAGTTAATAGAATAGTCGGTGATAAAATATTAGTTCATATATTTGAAATATTCACAGCATCCGAAGGAAATCATAACATTCTTTCATTATATTTCTATGTACGCAGCCATTACATCCTCTCAATCCCTCAGCTTTTCAAATGGATCGAGATGTGGGTAGCGTGATGGATGGCGGAGAGGAACGTAGTACGGTATTGGAGCGAATATGATGGATTTTGATGAATACCCGTCGTACCGATATTATGACATCACTCAATATCACAATAGCAACGTTGATGTCATCAAATTGCTTTTAGTTATGATGCTGATCGCTTAGTATCAAACGGATATCAATATTAATGTGAAGACATGGGTAGATACATCAAAAGTTATAAGCCCAAAACAAGTTCTCTGACTTTTGCGTATGTTGATATATTAATGATAATAAGTTTTGTATTTATTGTTGTATGAATTTAAAATTTCAAAAGAAAAAAAAAAGAGTTTGTATTATACGTATATACGTTGTACGTTATGATTTATTGTTATTAATTAATCGTCAAACAGCTTTTTGGCACATTTGCTATTAAGTTGATCTCGTTGAAAAGATGGAATACCGCCACCACGCACAGCTGTATACATGCTAGTTGCAAGTGTAGAACATTCACGAGAAACTGGAGTTTGTCGAGAGCATGCAGTTTTCAAGCAAGTATAAAACCTATCATCGCAGACTGATCGCTTGTTGCCACATGTTTGATAGCATACATCGTGCTGTACGCAGCAAGGAATAAGTGTATTGCGATCAAGCTTCTGCAGAAGTTTATCAACATTAAGTCCCATAGGTCCACAGCCAGCAGTACTTCGAAGGACTCGAACTAGAGGACTCATTGAAACCATATTAACCAGTAGAAGGAGACACACAAGATGGGTATACATGACAGGCGTAGACGAACGTTGTCAAGCGATAAAAATTTTGGTAACGTTGATTCGAGTTATATAGTGTTGACAAAAGGTAAGATGGGGATTGCCCTCGAGAGTCAAAAACATCGGCAGATGAATGGATAATTACGGTTATTGCACCCATAGGATGCTTTTCTATGCTTTGATCATGACTTGTTCGAACGGGTATTTGCTAATCAAGCGTAAAGATAGATAAGAGTTGGCAAAAAGGCCGGTCGATTGAATTTTTGTTTTAATTAGAAAATAACGGAAGTGATAAGAAACCATAACTTGTGACGCATTTTGTATGTGGCTTAGTCGCTCCTCAACGTCGAATTCGATTAATATGACTCGTTATAAAACCATGAAATCGAGAGAGCAATCTAAATCATCGACTATCTGTCAAAAAATGAAGAGTAAAGACACAATGAAAACGTTTGAATTGAGTTATCCCGTCTAAATCGAGTAGGTCGGCTTCGTTCACCTTCTGTCATATCATATATAAATCAGTTGTATTTTGTTCGACATGGATAGTGCATAGTTTGGTGCAGATGGTTTATACACAAAATCAAATGAAATATAGGACTTATTAAAAAAAGATTTTAACAAGTTTGTAGAAAATCTTTTAAATTATTAATACCTTCAATAGCAGTTGCGGAATCTGTTCTTATGTCATTGTTGAAATCACTACTAACTACAGATATCAGCAGCGCTCCATAACCAACGGAAAACATTTCGAGGTCATCAAATAAACCATTGTTGAAACCAAGAAAAATACCAACATTACTAGAGTAATGATTGGCTACGGTGACATCCAGAAACGTATCGTTATTGTAATCAATAATATTAACTGCACATGGTTCGCTTTGATAGCGAACGTTGAAAGTTCGATTTTGGCTTGAAAAAGATTCATTAGAATGTCTATACAACAAACCCACAATGTTGTCATCAAGATTAGTCACGACAAAATCTAGTTGATGATCACGATTAAAGTCGCTAGCGTCTGTTGTCGTACAAAAGCTTTATTCACATATCCAAGAAACACGCTTTCAGTTGTATCATAAAGATTAACAGCAACAACAACACCTGATCGACTGTCGTTCTTCAAATTAGCAACTACGATAGCGCCAAGTCAACTACCAGTTGAATATATTTCTCGGTTTTCAAAGGCGCCATCACCGTGTCCTAACAGAATGCTTACAGTAATATCCAATTGTTTGTCACCATTGAAGTCATCAATGTCTAGAGCATTATGGGAAGAATCAGTTGCACATGCAGTCGGAGTTGCAAAAGAACCATCGGCATGTCCTAGTAAAAGGCTTATAGTATTATCACCAAAATCGGTCACAATAATGTCCAATCAACTATCGTTATCCAAATCCTTGATAGCTATTGAGGATGAATAAAGGCCAGATGAGTATAATATGAGATTGTCAAAAGAATAATTAGTATTTTCGAGAAGTATGTTTATAGTTGTAGCCGGTTGAGAGAATTCTTCGATATGAGAAATCACTACTTCCATTTCCTACCTAGGTAGACAAGGCTGATTTTTAACACATTTTCACGCGAAAAAATCTGTGCCTGTGAACAGATCAAAGCGCAGTATTTTAAACTTTTTTGTCTACCAGAGCTGCGTTGCGGTACATTGTTTCGCCTAATGTCCGTTGTCTTCAATCTATGATTCAATTATGAATACCTGATGCTGCTTACAATGTAGGATCTTATCTTAGTAAGTCAAATATATAACAATAGGAAGCTTCTGAATCCTGTGTACATTTCTAAATGATTGACTCATGTAATACTAATGTGTGTATGAAACTTTCGACGAATTTGAAACTTTGAATCATTGAAGAATGTTTTTGAATTGTGAAAATTGTAAAGTTTCGATGGAATAAAACTGAACATTTGATTAGATATTGTTTTTGAAACACAGCGCATTGAAATAATTTTATTTGAGAAATTTTCTTTTTCAGAAAGCTGAATCATTCCATCATCAACTTCATTGTCAAATCAAAACAATATAAGAACATTCATTATCGAGCTAAATGCATTTGTAAAATATTCTTTTCTCATACTGATGTCTGTATAAAATACACGTTGCTTTTTCTCTTATCTATTGGACAGCCTTATTTCGCCTTTTTTTGTATCTTCCAATATTTTCTAAAAATGCGAATATTTTCAAACCAATCCCTTAATAAATAGATTTACATGCTATGAATAAGGATTGAAAAATGCAATCGTTCATCAAAAACCGTACCTAGTTATGACGCCCTCTGCAGGACACCTATATATTGAACCGATATGGTTGAGCGTGTTCAATTGATATACATCTACTTACTGTTCTCTACCTTTTTTTTAATGTTTGACACGTGTATTTCGACATTGGTTCGTTTTTTTTTTATTCATATTATACGATAAAATATCATGACATCAGTAGCAATACCATCTACTAAAACTCGTTGTGTAACATGTGCAAAAGAAAAACGAGCAGTGCGATGTGAAGGTTGTTTACAATTATTCTGTTATGATCANGTGTTCAGAATACTGTTTCTACAGTCGACGCGTGTGTAATTACTAAGGTGGAATTCCACCGACGGCTATATCACTTTGAGAACTACTTCTACTAAATTCCCATGAAAAAGTATGATGTAAGTAGCCTACAAAGCAAAGATGATACTAAGCTCATATCACTTTTTCGGATTTCTAGAATTAGAAACATCATTATGTACAATGCATTAGATCTTTTCGTGTAAGTTCTTGAGATACTATCTTTGTACGCACGACGTCCGTGAATAGTGTTCAGCTCACCATCTTCTACAAAAGGTTTTAGAACAGATAAAGAAAAATATCTCCTTTGTAAAGAGGAAGGGACAAGCCCAGGCTCAGCGAACAAGACGAAATTCACCCTTAAATTCGAATTTCCCGACGTCAGAAATGATTCGGTCTACTCTGACAATGGATGTTGATAAGTCGTGGCTAGTTAATGAAAAATTAATAACTAATTAAGCAACATTAACGTCGGATCCGTGATCCTCGGCCTCGATTACCCTTCGATCAACCCTTACTGGGCAATGAAGAAAGTATTCATCGCTTAACTAGCTAATGAGCTGATTGGAATTTCGAGAAACTAATCTTGGATTCGAGATCCTCAACTCTGATTACCCTTCGGTCAACCCTTACCCTGCATATTAATACTCGGTGTCTAGTTGACAGATAGTAAATTACTAGTTAATAAATAGTTAAAACTAACCTCAGATTCAAGTTCTCCGACCTCGATTACCCGAGGGGTAATCATTTTCTAACAACTATCGATTAATTTCACTGATTTTAGAAATGCTGATTTCTAATTGGATAGGACAGACAGACAAACTTTAAGCTTTTTAACACAGCATTTAAACACTGTATAACACTTTCTTTCAGAAAAGGGAATATTGACATGTTTATTTTCTTTTGTGAAGTAAAATATTATCTTTCATTCTGTCAAAGTATACGAAGCTATCGAAAATATAACTGAAAAATGGTCCTCACGATACGAAACAATTATAAAAAGAACTTCCCAAATTTTTCGCTTCCGCCTGATATCTTTCCCGCTGATCCATTCACATATCTTCGATTACTGTAGAACTAATTCAGGGGGCGAAGCTCATTCACAAATGCAAAACGTCTCGAAACAGAGTACCGTCCAAAGCAACATGCAAAACTCATAGGTTCTGTTTCGCTCTTTCCAGGTTTCTTTTAATCAATTGAAGGTGAGGATGTGTCGATGGTAACACTTTTTGAGCAATTTGAACCGCATTTGTGTAAAACAACACAGCAGTCCTTTGATCGCCCATGTCAGAATACGTATTACCGATGTTGTTGTAGGATGAAGCCACATCCGGATGATTGGGAGGAAGTGATTGTTGTCGTATTTTGAGAGCTTGTTCATGTGATGAAAGTGCCTTGGGATAATCACCCATGTCAGAATACGCATTACCGATGTTGTTGTAGGACGAAGCCACATCTGGATGATTGGGAGGAAGTGATTGTAGTTTAATTTTGAGAGCTTGTTCATGTGATGAAAGTGCCTTGGGATAATCACCCATGTTGCGATACGCATTACCGATGTTGTTGTAGGACGAAGCCACATCTGGATGATTGGGAGGAAGTGATTGTTGTCGTATTTTGAGAGCTTGTTCATATGATGAAAGTGCCTTGGGATAATCACCCATGTCAGAATACGCTGTACCGATGTTGTTGTAGGATGAAGCCACATCTGGATGATTGGGAGGAAGTGATTGTAGTTGAATTTTGAGAGCTTGTTCATGTGATGAAAGCGCTTTGGGATAATCACCCATGTCAGAATACGCATTACCGATGTTGTTGTAGGATGAAGCCACATCTGGATGATTGGGAGGAAGTGATTGTAGTTGAATTTTGAGAGCTTGTTCATATGATGAAAGTGCCTTGGGATAATCACCCATGTCAGAATACGCATTACCGATGTTGTTGTAGGATCCAGCCACATCTGGATGATTGCGAGGAAGCGATTGTTGTCGTATTTTGAGAGCTTGTTCATGTGATGAAAGTGCCTTGGGATAATCACCCATGTCAGAATACGCTGCACCGATGTTGTTGTAGGATCCAGCCACATCTTGATGGTTTTGAGAAGATGACATCAAGTGAAGTTCAAGAGATTTTCGAAAAAGTGTTATTGCCTCCTCGTATTCTCCTTTCTGGCGTTTAATCTTACCCAGGCGATTATAGACATGGGTTGCAGAGTCTTCAGAAGGCGTTTCATCAATTAGAACTCGACAGATTCGTTCAGCAATGTCTAACTGTGCTATGTCAGCGAGTACTAGACTCAGTCGTGACCATCCCTCTGCATTTGGAAAGCTTTCTTTTCGAATTTGTTCAGTAAGTACCATCAATTCTTTATCATTGTCACTCGTCAATGACAACGCCACTTCGTACACTTTTTCGTTGCCATCCATTGGCTTAACATCTCTTATGCGAAAGATACTGTGCATCGAAAACAGTACCTCTTCTTCTTCGGGAAACTGACTGATGTGACGAACCGAGGCAAATGACGCTGTTGATTGCTTTGGATCAATTGTGATCACAAATAGAACACTGATCACATCACTGTTCTTTCCATTTCCTGGAGTAAACATAAGAGAAGCGTTGCGATTCTCACTGGTAGACAGGAAATTATTGAATGACATCAGCCCAGCCTTCGTTGCCACCAATTGATCAAAATCTTTCTTCATTAAACCTTGGCCACGGTAAACTGAAAAGCATTTAGCAGTAGTTGATGCATCACCAAACTGCAGCTTGTGTAACTCTTCGATATGTCGATGAAGGTCACTGATGAAAAAGCCCATCAATGTGATCACTTCACCATCCATCACTCGTAATGCACGATTCAGCATACCGTATAAAAATCTTTGTGTTGTATACCACCAAATAGNTGGATTGTTATAATCATCGAATTGTACGTTGGTCAAAAGGAGCACGTGAAGGTACAGTTGTCGTAGGTGGAAATGGTCGTGGTAAACAACCAAATCAATTTAGTTGTCCAACTGGTGTTGCACTTGATCGACAAGACAATCTTTATGTTGTAGACTGGGGAAATAATCGAGTGCAAAAATTTGATCTCGAAAATGAATAATAATATAGAAAAATACATAGATAATGTTATTTTTTGTGAAAGTCTCATTAGTTTCATTGTGTTGCCGAATACGAAAAAAGAAATAGTCGATTTTTATTCTTTACAAAATTGTTTTTCTTTCATGTTTGTAATATTTCTTGCATATCCAGACAGATAAGCAGTAGGAAAAAAAACAATTGTCAAGATTTTAACGAAACTGCTAAAGCACTTGTACAAGTGAGAAGTATGATTGTGAAAATAGTTCGATATTATTGTTGTTGCTATAGAGAGAAGAAACACGTTTTGTGATGTACATTCAAATATCAACGACAAAGAAAGAGTATCCATGTGAAGAGATACGAGCTGGATCTTGCAGGAGGACACTGGAACTTGATGAAAAATGGAATCAATGGGTTCTATTCAGAACTGACAGAAACCAAGCAATATCAGTCGTGGGATCCATTCAAAACAAAGTATTCCTGCTTTCGCTTTCATTGTTCTTCTATTAACTATCCTTAATGATCCTGGGAAAAAGAAAACTTTCTTTTCACGAGAGAATAAAAGAATGATGGATAGGCCACTATGAAATTCTAAGAGAGAAATTTCGTTACTTATTTTCAAATGGGAAGACTTGAGACGTTTAGAGTAAAGTAAGAGATGTGTTTGATATTTCTATCTGACAATTGTAGTTGTTAATTCACTTTGAATTCGTTCAATTGTGGTTTGTCATGATTTTCTCATAGAACGATCCGATGATCTCAGCATTCATTGGCCGTTAAACTCTATACAGTTGACGCATTTCACTTACTTGTTCGATACATAATCATTGACTCGATATAGTGGGTATTGTGGCCATGAACGCATTATATGATCAAACTTCTTCAATGGGTACAGAAATTCTTTCACTAGCGAAGCAAAGAGAAATCGATAGAGACTTTTGTTTTGTGTTATTCAACAAGGCGAATAAATAATATCGCCATGGCGTTTAGAAGAATCCAAATGTTACATCTTTAGTTGATTGTATTTATCTCCTTTATGATTGTTCCACTACTTTGTCGAATGATCAATCTTGAAGAATTGAAATTATATCCAAAGATTTAACTCAATCTGATTAATTTCCTATCAACACAAAAGTTTTTAATTCAATTAGCAAAATCGAATTTTCATCGGGTGGCGATATCGAGCATAGTTTTACTAGAATAGGATACTAGCAAGTCAGATCGTATGTCTATACTAATTCAACAGAAAATAGAAGAGTCGTTATTTGATCTATTCGGTTCTGTATGATTTCAGTGAATTCAGTGAACTTGACAATTCTTTTTAAAGCTGTCTGTTCAATAAAGCTAAAAAGTTGACAATAGCTTATGCACAACTCTTTTCGAGCACAAATTGTTCGTCTTAAAGAAAAACACTCATCTATCCAGTTTGATACATCTTCGAATCACATACATAATACTCGTAGTGTTGATGAAACGTTTAAAATAAAGTCCAACATATTTCAATTGTGGTACATTGAAACATCTGAATATCTATAAGTCATTTATTCGATTCAAAACTTTTCATCAATACTCTCCATTGGTATAGTTCAAACTATAAAATATTTTACACGACAAAAAAAGAAAAATAACAGTGAATTCTCTACCTTGTAGTCCAATCTCATATGACTGAGACATCCTTGTTTATTAGAAAATCATATCGAAAGAGAATCGTTTGTCCTTCATGTATATCAATTTCTTGTTGCTCAAAAAGGAAAATAGTCGGCTATATACACTCACGTTGCGTTGTTACAAAACGTTATCCATGTGATCAAAAAAGATTCATTTTCGTGTTCATTGAAGAAATGAAGAGAAAAAAAAGAGGATACTATTCAATCTCTTGTCTCACACATCACATCCTTGATAAAAAGGACAGAGGAAAAGAGAGAACGAGTACATAGGAAGACAGTCATCATATTTTATTCATCTTATTTCATATATCGTCATACAAAATCAGATAAGTCATTTTGAAACCAACGGGTTCTATTTTAGTTCAATTTACAGGAAAGTCTCAGCAATTCTAATGGCAACACGACTGAATAAAACACGTTGTATCCGATGCGATAAAGAAACAACGGCAGTTACATGTGAAGGATGTCTTCAATTGTTTTGTTACGACCACTTAACTGAACATCGACAAGAATTAAACAAAGAATTGCATCATATTGCGTTGGATTGTGATCATTTTCGTCAAACGTTTAGTGAACCAACAACAAACTCGCAGAAAGAATTGTTTCTAAAACAAATCGATCAATGGGAGAAAGATTCAATTAAAATAATTCAACAAACATCGAATGAATGTCGACAATTGTTAATTCAACATACGATCAAAAATATTCATCAAATTGAAATGAGTTTAACGAAACTAATGGATGAAATACGAGAAATTCGACAAGAAGATGACTTCAATGAAATTAATTTACAACAATTCACCGAGAAATTGAAACAATTACAAGAACAACTTGATCAGCCAACAGACATTTCCATTCAACAAGATTCAACCGCATTCATTAGTCGAATTCGTGTCGTTATTTCATCAGGTAAAAAAACACTTCTATCAGATTTGTTGATAAAATCTCAGAGACATCATTGAGGTTGAAGGTTCAGAAACATTGATGACCTCATCAGCACGAATGATATGTACGAGATCGAACTATGACGAGCATTTTCTTTCTCGTAGGAAAATATACTTCATCGAAGAACATTCATATCAATACAGCATGGAGACAAGATGGATCAACAGTTGTTGGAGGAAATGGTGAAGGAAATCAATTGAATCAGCTGTATTATCCAGATGGACTTTGTGTTAATGATGATGGAAAAATAATTTATATTGCAGATTCGTCAAATCATCGAATTGTTGAATGGAAAGTTGATACTAATGTTGGCAAAGTAGTTGCTGGAGGAAATGGATGGGGCAGTGGTTTAGATCAATTAAATTGTCCAACTGATGTCATTCTTGATAAAACGCGTAAATATTTGATCATTTGTGATTATGGAAATCGACGAATTTTGAAATTATCATGTCAAAATTGGCGAAATCAACGAACACTTATCTCAGATATTGATTGTTCACAGTTAACAATGGATAATAATGGAGATCTCTACGTTTCAGATTATGAAAAACATGAAGTTCGACGATGGAAGGATGGAGAAGCAAACGGAACGATCGTTGCAGGTGGTAATGGTAAAGGTGAATATCTTCATCAACTGAATCATCCCACATTTATCTTCGTCGATCAAGATTACTCAGTTTATGTTGCCGATTCAGGTAATGATCGTGTTATGAAATGGGAAAAAGATGCGAAAGAAGGAATTGTTGTTGCGGGAGGACAAGGACAAGGTAATACTCTTTCGCGGTTATCGAATCCCCAAGGTGTGGTTGTTGATCATATGGGAAATGTTTATGTATGTGATTCGTGGAATCATCGAATCATGCGTTGGTGTAAAGGTGCTCGAGAAGGTTCGATTGTTGTCGGAGGAAATGGCTATGGTCAACAACCAAATCAATTTGCATATCCACATGGTTTAACTTTTGATCAACAAGGAAATTTGTATGTGATTGATTGTGATAATCATCGATTACAAAAATTTGATGTAAATCTCTGATGAGACGCTTTCGTTCTTCTTTGACTTTTAAATAAATTTCTATTTTTGGTATGTTTTAATAAAAGGTACAAAGGAAAGTGTGCCCTTATACACTCAATTTGGTCGGAATGATCGCGTGTTTCAGTTGGTTATATTTATTAAATAGATAAACAAAAATAAAATCACTTCGATAAAAGCGAAAACAAGGAATTTTTTCTCTCAATCAGAATAGATAAACGGACACCGGATGGAATTTATCATATTGATTAATTCAGGTCGTTAGAATCACAGGAACTCTCCTCTCACTGTTCATCTTCTTCTTCTTGAAGGATTTCGACTTTGTGTTGACGCTTTAGATTGTGATTTTCAATGTTGATTTGTTTTTTTTCTCAAAACTGTCTACCCTTAACATGTAGATTTTCTTAATCTTGTTTCTCGATGTGTTTGTATAGAAAGTTAAATAATAACAAAACAGAGTGATAATCGTTTAATAAGCCTATTGAAAAAACTCAAAGATGCTTGGAGAGCAGCTTCAGCACAATCAACTTGGATTGGAATGGAGATTGAGCCTTTTCTTTATCATCCTGAGCAGACCCTAGCGTTGAGCATCAGCTGGTGCATCTCAATATACCTAGAAATAAAATAATCAAATCATTTTATTCGAAACAAGAGTGTTTGTATACTTTTGTATAGAGTTAATCAAAAGCATTAACTCGTGCAGTAAAGACGGCAAACTTTCGATAGTAAGGTGTTCTATAAACAGTGAAAATCTTGCGCACATGGGCTTTAGCTTTCTTCACTCTACATTTCATTCGAAAACCAGAGAGCAAAACTGAAGGAAAACTTCAAATTAGTATGACCTTTGGTCGCTCGTCTACCGATTGATTGTAAAATGAAGAACGCTAATTATAATAGACGCAGAATTTTGGTTGGATATGAAAAATCTTACTATCAAAAGCTTGCTATCTTTATGTACAAGTATACGGTTCTGACGTATGTCTACTTCTGTATCAAGATTTTCGATCGCTATTGCTTCTTCTGTTAACAATTCAATACGTGAATCAGGGTGAGCGGCTTTCAATCCACTTTACTAGAAATATCTATAGGTTGTTGCAATACTTTCATTGATTTAATCAGCATACAGAGGAATCTGTTTTAA